TCCAGACCCTAGTGGCTGTCTCATTGACAGCCGCTAGAGGCGCTTCCGCGCTTCTCACTGTGATTTTCACAGTGAGAAGACGCCAGAGTCCATAGGAAAGCATTGGGAATGCTTTCCTATGAGACTGGCTGAATGCTTGCGCGGATCTTGCCGTGCATGCGCATTCAGCTGATGACATCAGAAGAGGGAGGAGAGTCCCAGCGCCGAGGGAGCCTAGTGCTGGAAAAAAGCACCCCTTCAGCACCACGGGAGTGGGACCCTGAGGGTGGGGACACCCTCAGAGCACTATATTGCCAGGAAAACAAGTATGTTTTCCTGGCACTATAGTGGTCCTTTAATACCAAAAAGACAGCTAATGCAGACACATTAAGATGTGCTTTTTTAACACAATATAACACTCAGCACAGAGAAATTAAAAAGAGTCTAGAAAAGCATTGGTCTATTTTGTTAAATGACCCGATTGGCTCCATTGTCCCGAGACATCCCCAAATGATCTATAGAAAAAATCAAAATCTTAAAAATATGATTGCCTCTAGTTATATAAAAGGAAAATTGGGGAACAGTTCCACTACACCTAATAGATTTAGAGGGTATCGGGACTGTATGGCCTGTAACACAGTCCAGATGCTTAAGGCCACTAATTTTGAGAGTAACACCACCAAAGAGATCTTTTCGGTCAGCTCAGATATTGGCTGCCGCATGGATTTTGTGATATATTTATTGCAGTGTCCGTGCGGCAGGCAGTATATAGGAGTTGTTTAAAGGTTAGAATTATGGAGCATATCAACAATATCAAAAAGGGTCTCAAAACCCACTCGGTTCCAGTCCACCGCAATTCCTGCCCCGCCTTCTCCTTTAAGGATTTTAAATGTATGGGCATAGGACATGTCCTTCCACATTGGAGAGGGGGCGATCGCATTAAGAAATTATCACAAAGGGTAATATATTGGATTTATAGAATGCAGACACTGGAACCGAGTGGATTAAATTCAGACATCGACCTGGTATGTTTTATGTAAATTATGTTTTTTTTTTGTTTTGTAATTTTAATATGCCTGTTTGGATTGATAGCACTCTCTCTCTCTCTATATATATTATTATTTTTTTTTAATATTATTTTTTATACTTTTACCTTTTTTTATTCTTATTTTTACTCTTATATCCATTTTTATTTTTATCTCATCATTTTTGTATTTTTTATTTTATTTTTTACTTTTTATATTTTATTCTTTATTATACATATTTTTTATTATAATTTTTTATTATATATTTTTTTTAATACATATATGTATTTTTTCCATATATATGTATAGGTGAGATATGGGGGTTTTGGTGCCTCTCCGGACAGACATGGATAACATCTGAAAAAAGATCTGACACTTCATGCATGTATATATATGGTTTATATATAATCATTTTATGTTTATGTTTACAATACATTGTTTTTAAACATACTGTGATGTTAATAAGTATCCTAAGCTAAAGAAAATAATTGTCAATAAGCCTGCAAGCCTGGGAGCAATTTAAATAGCTTATGATGACTTTAATTTCCGCTCTTTTATAAAGTACTGCTGTCGCATGGTATGCCCATATACATTATGCTACATATGATTCGTCAATAGGATTGCACAGACGCGAAGGAACCGACAGTGGAACGCTTACGTCATTGGAACGCACACGTCAATGAAGCCCTGGAGCGCATGTACACGCATGCGTCAAGGATGACGTCATCTACCCGGAAGAACAGCGCGGGAACTATGAAAAATGAAAAAACCAGAACAGCTGAAGAAACACCTTTTCACAGCAAATCATCGAGGAGAGTAAGGAAACATCGTGTGAGCGATCTAATCAACACTCAGAGGACATTCCTATTTAAGAGGAATACA